GCGTGCGTGTGTGTGTATGTGTGTGTGTGTGTGTTGGTGTACCCCTTTTATTTCCCTTCCTTCGGTTTTTCCTCGCCATCCCCCGTCGCCTCCTCATCTCTCAGGCACTACTGACCTCACTTATGGCCGGTTTACACTGGAGGCGGATCCGAAAACGCGAGGTGGTTCGGGTCATTTCCAGCCGCAAAAGCGGCTGGGGCGGCGCGGTTGGGGCGCGTTTTTAGGATCGGTCCGAGACCGAATTTTCAGAACCGCTTTCGGCGACCGCGGAGCGGTTCCCGAAAGTGGGCCAATAGGAACTCGATGCTGCCGTGACGTTAGGTTGACGTCACGCTAGCAGACTGCACAGTCCCAAGATGGCGACCGTTCGAAGCACCGGTGCAGCGGAGTCGGCGAAAAAGAAAAAACATGCGGTGAAGACGGAGGTCCTATTGGACCTTGTAAAGCAGTACCCCTGCCTTTATGACAAACGACATCCGAAGTACAAAGACAACGCTTACAAGGACGAGCTTTGGGGCAACCTCGGCGTGGATCTCGGCGGTGTCGAAGGCATGTAGTACTTTTTTTGTAATCGGGAACGAATATTGTTATTTGGCTCGGATTCTACCGGGTGAAACAAGGAGACGGTAGGCTCTTTAAATCGACCGGAAAATTCGGTTTCTTAACCTATCGCGCTACGACTTTGTGCAGCGTTGCCCACACATGGTGCATTTTTTTCGTAAAATTTGCAAAGAGCGGACTTACCTGAGGAAAAAGTAAAGAAAGAAAAAGGCTTAGCTCCTATGGAAATGCAGCGACGCCACCGGTCTGCAATCAACACGGCGCAGTTTTGCACGGTCGACAAGAGATGGCGCAAGCGGTCGCGACGCCAACTGCCGCCAACGAACGAGCAGACGACACCGAGAGCCGGCGTAATTAGCAGACAAGGAACTGCAGCTCCTTGTTGTTACCGCGCCTGTCTTTTTTGTTTCTGCGACTGTCGCCGCCTGCGGAACGCTCGCCGCTTTTGAGTCGAAAAGATCGTCTGCTAAAGAGCCTTTGAGGAATACCTCGGCCGGCTCTCGGCGCCCGTATGCTCGTTCGTTGGCGGCGTTCGTTGCGCCATCTCTTGTCTCCCGTGCAAAACGGCGCCGTGTTGATTGCAGACCGGTGGCGTCGCTGCCTTTCCATAGGAGCTAAGCCTTTTTCTTTCTTTACTTTTCCCTCAGGTAAGTTCGCTCTTTGCAAATTTTACAAAAAAAATGCACCATCTGTGGGCAACGCTGCACAAAGTTGTAGCGCGATAGGTTAAGAAACCGAATTTTCCGGTCGATTTAAAGTGCCTACCGTCTCCTTGTTTCACCCGGTAGTGTCCTCCAAAGCGCTCAAACACTCTTCAGCTGCGAGTTAGGAAAACTACCAATTTCGGTGTGATGTGCTATGCCAAGACTCAGCTGACCGAGGGCTATCGCGCAAGCGAGCATCTGTTGGTAACGCGCACGCGACTTTGGAAGGAGTCCCCGGTGCACGAGCGCTCGTGCAACGGTAGTGCTGTTGAAACCCCGGGGCACGCGAACGGAGTATAGATGGCACCTCCTCCGAACGAGCATATTTATAGACCAGCGCTTCAGTAACCATCATTCAGCACTTTGTAAGCAGCGTCAGTGTTTGAGCCGCAATTCTTACAATGCATAGCTGTGTTTTGGTGTCAAAAGTTAGTGCATCACGGTTTCATTTTTTTCATGAAGTGTCTTGGCGAACAAATTTAAGAATGCCAAGGATTCATATCAAAAGCAAAAAAATAAAATATCTGACAGCATGAAGAGTGGTGCTGGGGCAGGGGAAGTTATCAAAATAACTTGGCCCCACTACATCCAAATGATGGAAATAATGGAACCAGTGTCGCCCACTCCAAGGTATGTACTCGTACCTCTTTAAAAATATGTGGAACTTTGTGACACAAAGGCACTAAATCACCCGCATGTCATTTCAGCCTCCACACAAACTTGGATTTTTATGGTGAGATGAGGTAGGTTTTAGTTGATTAAACAATGTTAAAAATATACGTAACTTGTTCTTTCTACATTTGTTTGCTGTCACATCAATTCACCATGACGATACTTAAACAACAGTGGCACCAGCAGTGGCACCAGCAGTACCACCAGCAGTACCACCAGCAGTACCAACGATGGCAGTGGTCACCTGGAGGAAAGAAGGTTGGTATCGGTTGTTCCAGTATTGTGTTGAAGATTGATATATTTAGGTGGACGCAATTCTTGCTTTATCTACAGGGCTGATGAGCAAAATGATGGCCAGTGCGAGCCGTGAGTTCATGATGATACTTTTTTTTATTAAAGCCCCACATTTTAAAACATAGCTTCATCAAAATCCCCTTCTTTGCAGGCCCGAAGAACGGAGAGCATCGGGCGTGACAGGCGGCAGCCCAATGTAAGGTTTCCTCTATCATAGTTTGATTGTTGATATAAAAAATTAGCATTCATCCTCAAGGATATCATTTAAATTTACAATGAATGTCACACGTGACCACGCTACACGGATGCCCTAAAGACATGCAGAAAATAAAACCTGTATGCAGACTTGTACGTAATCCGTTACAAGTAACGCAATTACTTGTAATCCCTTACATTTTTCAGTAATTTAGTAACGGAATAATTACATATTTTCTCGAGTAATTTTAAAGTAATTCCGTTACATTTTTTACGTAACGGATTCCTTGTAATCCGTTACATTTTTTTTCAGGACCAACCCCTTCCCCCCCCCCCCCCCCCCTTCTAAAGAAAGGATTGTTTTTATTTTGGTAATGGCGAGCGCAGTGTCACGCGAGTTGACCAGCGCAAAGGGAGGCTTGGCACTCTTCAGGTCCGCAATGCCTTCTTTGTTTTACAACACCAAGCCCCTGAATCTATTTTTTTTAGTCCCTAACAACAATGTCAAAAAATCCAAACAAAACATTTCTACAAAAAAAAAAAAAAAAGGAGGGAGGGGGGCAAGTTATATCCGCTTCTTTTAGTCCCTTTGTTTATTCTTTGCGATCGAAGACTGGGAGAGGAGGACACAAGTGATTCTGTGCCTCTTCGAGAAGCTCGAGGTGGTAAGTACACAGAAAACAGTTAACAATGTCCTTCTCGGTTATAGTGACTACGACCATTTTCATAATGTCACAACAGGAGACAACGCTCAGTCTGCCCAAAAATCCACTAAAAGAGATGTGATAATATGTGAAGGTGTTATTGCCACAAGCATCCTCGTTCGTTGCTGCACATTTATCATATTCTTTTAGAAAACAGGATGTATATTTTTCTGCATCTTTCACATTATTTTACCCTGTTTTAAAAGCTACTTAACTTCTAAGGTTGGCCCTCTTTATTTGTGAATTCCAGCCAGGTTATCTGCATCTCAGTCACCCTTTTATGAGTCAGCTTTTTGCGAGCACTTGGAAAATGGTAATAGTCTTCCTTTCTTCTTTTTTTCTGTTTTGCCCCAGCAGGACGCATCTCATATCAAGCAGATATTTTTACAAATCAAACATAATGGTGGCTGACGTAGACTTGATATTCTGTGCTTGAGGGGTGAGTGAAACTCGTGAGTGGGGCCATAGCGCGGCTTACTTAGCACTCTGCCCTTCGCTGGCCGTGGCATCAACGGACGTCTATCTGGAGAACACCGGAGTAAACTGCAGTCGGTTCGTGCTCCATGCGGTTTTGAACGGCACCAAGAAAGGTACACACGGCAAACGTGCGATTACATTACCTTGCTTTAAACGACGCTCAAAGTTGTTATGAATGTCCTCTTTTTTTAGTACTTATATTTATATACTAGAAACTTTGTTTTTATTCACTAACGTCTCAACCGAGGCTCGACCTCTTCAAAACCAAAGGAAGAAGAATATCGAGCCAAACCTTATTTATTATTTAATTATCACCTTACTGTCACAACTATGTTTTGCTATTGTCTGGCAATAAATGGAGGTATAGTAAGATGGACATAAATCAGTTCTTATTCTAGTTTTGGCTAGATGTATGATGACTTCCACACCTTCGCGATTTAGACAATGGAGAATTTTAGTAGATCGGTCCGATGACTCCGATAACGATATCCGATACCCCGCTGCCGCCTTTGCGCATGTATCATATTGTTATTGGGGGCATCGGAGGAATCGGAACGATTTACTAAAACTTTCTTATATCAAGCAACGGCTGCAACGACGAAGCTTTGTTTTATCTTCCAGGTAAATAGTACTTCCATTGCTTCGCTGAAGAAGCTCAATGCAGACCATCCATACAGCATTCATGAGGAACAATATTGCAGTCCCATCCAGTGCTTCAGTTCAGTGGGTGTTCAGCGTAGCAGTCGACATATTGAGTAAGAAATAACCCAAAATGTCTGGCGAGACTTTCTTGAGCCAGCTGTTGCTTAAAATACTCAGGGTCATTAAATGGAACAGCTTGCAACAATACGAGCTTGAATAACCCCCTTCCCTTTGTTTCTTCCCTGAGGACAATAATATTGAAAGTAACGCCACGAAAGTAACGGATTACTTTTTGGAGTAACGGTCAGTTACTTTTATGGCGAAGTAATTGTAATTGTAATAAATTACAATTTAGCCTTGAGTAATTGTAAATGTAATTCCTTACTATTTTTCAGTAACGTGTACAAGTCTGCCTGTATGTACAAATGCAGGCAAAATGAACAACAGCGGGCACGTCAGTCACCTGCCAGCAAGTCAAGGTAAGCAATCTATAAAGTACTTATTCTGAGCTTGTTTCACACAAATTTGTTATACTAGGCCAGAAGAGAGCGGCTCTGGTACGCAGGACGCCATCGGTGCCTGTGTTGGCCTACTGCAGAGCATTCAGGAGAGGCGTACCAGGAGGGCCGAGAACTGCCAGGACGCTGTTCACCATTTTAGCATGTCAATCGTTGGTCGACTGAGAACCCTCGATGAGCGTAGCCAGTTGCAGGCAATGCACCAAATAGAAAATGTCGTTTTTTCAGCGCAAATGGAAGCCATCTGTAGGCAAGAGGCGGAGTCCTGAACAAAGAACAAATAAATCACTTGTAACAGCAGTTCTTTTCATTAGTTTCCACTAGGTCCCATGACCATGGTGTCCTGCCAGGGGACTGCTCCTCCGTTCACGAAGTGGTGGGTGAGCTTTGCCCGCACCCTGTAGGCTTCCCTGTAAATAGAACAGCCACACCGTAGACAGTGCAAGGTTAAGAGTGCAGTAGAAGCATCGCCTCCAGCACACACTCTGTGGCTTCCGTTGCGATTTAGCTGTGCGTGCGTGCTTTTGCTATCAAAGATAAAAAAGTTTGCACTGGAAGTGGGGCTTCGAGCTAAAGTTTAGAATGTCATAGACTTGCAATTATAAAACTTCTCGATTTGGTTCGGTTTCATCACTATTCGATTCGGTTACAAAAAACACTATTTGCACACTTTTAATTATTAGAGATGGTACTTCTTGTGGGAATTGTCGACAGAGTCTCAAGTCCTACATTTGCTGCGTATACTAGCCCGAGATTGACTTTAGCACGGATAAAGCAACACAGTGAGGAAAATGGAACATGCCTGGTTGAATTGTAGCCAGTCCTGGGGAGGGCTTGAAGTGTGGCGTTCTCATTGTCAGTATCGCCCCTCCAACTGCCACTGACGCTCCGTCCTTCCCAGTCTTCATGGTCAGCTGTGCCGGGAGGGCAGTACGATGTGGCTGATATCTCCGAATCCTTTAAAAGGAAGTTGTGGAGCACAACGCATCCCGCAACAATCTTGTCTGTATTTTCTTCGTTGGCTCGGAAGGGTCTTCTCAAGATGCGCCATTTTTGGGCAAGGATGCCGAAGGCGTTCTCTACTACTCTCCGGCCACGACTGAGGCGATAGTTAAAAATCTTGCGCCGACGCCGCAGCTCCTTTCTGTTGGCTTCATCATTGTCGGATAGGTCTCCAGCGTCGTCGTCCGGCAGTTGCTCGTCTACTGGGTCACCAGCTTGGGGAGCGCTGGTCGAAGGGCGAGCTGCAGACTGCTGTCTTTCCTCAGCTGTTGGGATGAGGCCTGCAAAATAACCAATTTCTTAACCTATTGCCTATTAATTATAAGTCTCTGTGGTGTCACCCTTTACAGACCACAAATAACGTCCACAAGCCTCACTTCCACAAGTCTTACCTGTCAGGCCGACAAGAATCACGAGAACAACACAAAGGAAACGTTTGATGTGTATGACGGGGTGCTCCTATAACCTGGTCTCGGTCAGAAGAAACAAACGGGCGTACATTTCTGGAGCTTTTGGGTCATGCTAGCAAATAGTGCCCAGTAACATTACAGACGTCAACAGTAATAATTTAGTTGACGTCTGTCCATCGCTTCACCGACATAAAGAAGAGTGCTATGCACTCATGGCCGAAACAAGTTCAATTGATCCCTACCATGCCTACATCTCATATACCGCTGCCGTTATAATCCTTGGGGGAAGGTGTAGCATATGATATGAGCCAACAAACCTCATGAGGTTATTAATGAGCTGGCTATAATGGCGACCGAAATCAGCTGTCGTTAGCATCAACTCTCAACAGCATGAGTGTCCAACATTTTTTTTTTACAAATTTAGGTTACGTTCAGGGGTTAGCAGGTTCTCAAACAATTTATGTTGATCCGCAATTAAATGTGTCTTCATCCGTAATGCATTTCGAATCCTTGCAAGACATAGACCAAGTTAGACATGAAACAAAGCAACACATTACTTACTTTTCCTCGGGTATGGCCTCATGAGGTAGGGTTTTAGGGGAAAGGCCTCATCCCCAAGCAAGAAGTATGACAGGTCCCCTTCCTCTCCAACTGCCGCTGGAGGAGGCAGCCCCTGCTCCCCACAATTAATGCGCCGCTGAAGCTGGCTGCGGGCGAAAATTCCCCCGTCGCTCTCACTGCCGTGGTGTCCTATTTCAACATAGAGAAACCTGAAATTAAAAGGTACTATTAACACAGAATGTATTATTTGAGGCAGCTGCCTGTATAGTGTATGAGCACCCCTGTGCTGCACACCCTTCAGGGCTTGTTGAAGGGATTCCTGGTGGGAACTCCACTCAGGTGAGCAAAACTCTAGACGAGGTCAATGCTCTTGGCGGCATAATGTGTGCAGCATGGGCTACCGAGCCTAGTTTCCGTCGCGCCTTCACTAAAATTTCCCTTAAGCGCCTTGTAAAGCTTGGGTGGCTGTCGAAATTCGCTAAACCTCGAGTGGGGGTGCAAGCCGAAGCTAGCGTCTCGCTGTCGCACACACCAGCTCTGACCATAGTACTTTGCGTCTCCCGAGTTTCCTTCCAAGCATGTGATTGTCCTCGCCCCTCGCCCCCTCAACACACTACCACAATTTGTGAACAAGTATTGTGCAGATATTCTACACAGCCACACTTCCTTCATGCGCACTGTCACCACGGAGCTTTCAACACTGGCTTCAATGCCGGCGGAATGGAGGTTTGAGACAGAGCACTTCCACGCTTTCTTTTTATAATAGGATCTTTGTGTGATGCACTTCCGTTACTAAGCGGTGCATCACAAGAAGTGCTACGAGCTAGCCTCAGTACATTATGTTTATGTTAAAAGCAGTTTTGAAAAATATCGGCAGGAATCAACAAGAGTTCAACAGTTGTACTTCATGGTAACATACCCTACATTCATAAACATGATTGCATAAAGTTTTACGCACAGAGATGTGTATGTGTGTATGCTGTAATTGCACCATAATGGGGAATGGTTTCAGCAAACATCAAAGGAGGTCAAGTATTACCAATAACAGATGAAAACAGCCGTACATGCAAAGTGTCCTTTTTGACGTAAGTCTTCCCACCTTTCACTTGAAGCTGCTTGTGTACCCTTCACTGGGCAATTTGTCTTTATATCACCTGCTTTAGCAATAGAAGACTCAAAACTTGCCTGTATCTTGCATCGCTAATGGCCAGCAGTGACTTGCTGAAGGAGCCTTTATAGTTGTGGTTAAGGCTGCCAGACAGCTTTGGGCACTCAATGATAACATGCTTGCCGTCAATTGCTCCTATGCAGTTTGGGACATTCCATCTGTCTTCAAAATCAGCAGCGACCTGTGGCAAAATAGATCTCCAGTAGTGTCTTAGTTTCCTCAAAAGCCCATGAGAGTTGAAGCGTACTAGAATACTTACAAGAATTTTGCCCAATTTTCGTGTTTGTCATTTTTCAATGCAACGTCACCAGAAATCATTGGCAATTATAGCCTTTGATTTCTGGTGTTAACATGATGGCAGTTCATGGACACACACTTTTATGTGTGTGTCCATGAACTGCAACCTCTACTTCCGACTTCACTCCAAGGCTGCCCATTTAGTCGGCTTGAGCTGCTATGCCGCCTCCTCTAATTCCTACCATCATGTTTTTACCCATCATCTTATTAGCTTTGCCCACTTTTTTAATGTGATAGTAGCGACCGGGGCAGAACATTAGCTCACACTTTTCTGTAATTACAGGGAACTATGTTGAACTGTTCCATAGCTTTTGAGGAAATTAGGAAATTTTTTCAGAACATAAAGGTCTAAATTTTCAGCTGTTCTAGCATGACAAAATTAATTTTACTGCCTTCGTAATGCACAAAATTTTGCAAAGTACTCACGTGTACGAAAGAGACATTGAGTAAAGCTGCTTACAAGTGCATAATTTTGGGGCATTTAGTAGGCTCGAGTAAAAAATGTTTACCTTTTTCCACTCCTCTGGCTGTTCCGGACAGGCTACGTAAAGAGGCCCAAGCACCTCCCACAGGGCGGTACACACCTCGGAAACAATTCCACAGCAGGTCGACCTTCCGATCAGGAAGTTGAAGGATGAGCTCCGTAGTGTCTCCCCAGCACCAAGAAATCTTGGCAGAAAACAGAGAAATGTTGAAAGCAATGGTTCAAGAACTTTACATATCATATGGTTGGCATTACTGATTGTATGACAAGAATTCAGTCACTGAGGGACACTTCTGTCACTAGTGCACTTTTAACTTCTTCCGAATTCAAATATCTCATAGCTGTTCAGAAAATTGGATAACTGCGTCAAGCCTGCAGCCGAACGAGCTGTTATAAATTGTTTCTTCAAAACCCTCTACGTGACTCTCACTATTTGGTACACAATTTTAAGCACAGTTGATGGTATCATTATCGCTTGGTTTTGCGATATTTTTGAATTTCGAACATTTGTGTCAACAGCTTAGTTTTTTGGACGTCGAACTTTTGCGTCAACAGCTCAGTTTTATAGTATAATTTCTTGGATGTTAAATTGTTGCGTCAAAAATCCGTACTGACTTACGCGCGTGCGATTATTGTTGGAGTTATTACCTAGATTTCCTACCATCGGGCAATCAATATCATTCTCTCTATTTCTCTCGCAATTACCTTATCGTTAGTGCGAGGCGCACGTCAGGAGGAATGGCCTTCCGGAGGTTCGTGTCCTCTTTCTTGATCCGGTCGCGGACCAGGTCCAGGATCGTGTCAAACGCGCTGGGAGGCATCCTGAGGAAACTGATGGAATAATGTTACACTTATTCTCGATCTGCTACGCTTTCTTTTTATGAACACGTAATGTGAACATAGATAGATCACTTACTCGCGGTAGTACTCCACGTCCCGCGAACGCAACAGGGGAACGAGGCTCGTTCCCTGTCCCTTCTCGTCTCTTTCATGGAAGCAAGGGCGGACCCACCATCTTCTGGGACGTTTGCGCTTATCCCTGCCCTGAGACGCCAAAACAACTGCAACTAGAGCTACACCAGCAGCCTCTTCGTCGCTGAGGTCCTCATCACTGCCGCTCGCGAGGTGTTCCATGCTTGTTTTTGCGGGAGGCTTCTTCTTGGATTTGAATTGGGAACACAAGTGGATTCTGGATTGTGAAACAGGGTTGCCACTCGCAAGTCTCGTAAACCCTCCAAAAGATTGCTTGTTCGCCGAGAAACCGCCAACCGCGTCCTTCGAGTGTGAACAGGGCCGCTTTCAAACCGCATCCGCAAACGCTTCGCAAACGCTGCTCAACCGCCAGTGTGAACGGGCCATTATAGGGTGCCTACATGTTCCCGCCGCTCCGCTGGAGCGGCGGGAACATGTAGGAGCGGAAACAAGTAGGCACCCTAACCTCACTACCTAAATCGCCTGTGGGTCACTAGGTAGCTTTGTTGACAGTGGGGGAAAATGAGCTCTAAAGCCGGCGTACACCACGCATATCTCCACAGTATCACAAAGTTCATTCTTCGCCTCGATTCCGAAGTGAAAATTTTGGCCACATTGTCGTCAGTAACTTCCACCAACGACGATCTCGCGACGAGAAAGTTAAAAGCACTCACACTCTAATCCTCCTCTCCCTTAAAAACCTCTAGGTGTATCAGTGCACTGCCACGCTAGCCACGCTCCCCGACCAGCGTGTGCTTGGATTTGGACCAACCCAAAAGTGACCCCTCTTGGGGGTCACTTTTGGGTTGGTCAGTTTCTTAGGAAGTACGGAACTGTTTTGTTCACTCGGTATTGACAGTAGAGTAGACGCTGTGCTTGTTTTAGGCCAATCGGGTCTCCGGGTAGGATTACGTGACTACAGTCTCCAAGCTAGAGATAAGGCAGAGCACGGCACCTGCCTGAAGGCCAAGGCCACGGGTAGCATCCACTGCACTATTAACTTTGGGTCGAACTTTCAAGAGGATATAGGGGACAAATCCTCTAGCTGCGTTGATTGTTGGGGTAACCCTGAAGATAAGCCTTTGCGAGGGCGACCACTTTTGGCCTTGACGGAGCTGCTATTTTCGTATACTCCTCTCTTTTCTTTCTATCCCTAATACCCCTGTCAGACGGCAGCTAAAATGGCATTTACGCCAAATGACATTCAGTGTAAATGTCATTTAGGCACTGCCACACGGCAACTCAAATGGCATTTAACCTAAATGCCATTTCGGGTAAACAGAGTTCCCCAAACTCATTTACGGCTCGCAAAGCGTACTCTCGATGGCAGCGCTCGAAACATATTACGGGATTGTTTAAAAAAAAAGAAGGCATATATTGCGGAAACAATTTTTACATCGTCTTAATTACGAAAATAATTTCTTTAACGCGTAATTCGCACGCACTTTACGTTCCTAATTGTTTAACCTACTCACGACTCCAGTTACCCAGTAGGCCTAATGGCTCTGAAGTCTGAACCGCTGAACTTGTCGTGTGCTCGCCTCGGTCGGCTCTCGGTTCGTTGGTTCCACTTGCGATGCGCTCCTCATTTACGCGTTTTTACGATATCGGAAGGAGCGCCTGCCGACAAAAAAAGGCGACCTGTCCCGCGAGACGTCGGTACTCAAACTATGTGAGACGAGCACCTCGAATGGTCTTCGGTAGCAGAAGCGGAACGGCGGGTTCTGCACCGGCCTACGGGCAATTTTAGAAGCCCTCCGTTTCCTCAAGATATACATCGCGCTTCATCACAATACCGAAACCTCAAGGAACATTTTTGGGTAAGATATAACTTTAACGGTGGGCATAACCAACAGGAGCACGCAAAACAATTAGCGGAGCGGACGGCCGCCTAGTATTCGTTTTGTGTGTGGGTCGTCGCAGCACTGCGTACCTCGAACGAGTACTGCGTACCTCGAACGAGTTCATTGCACGACGCTTGGTCGTGGTTCATACTAGCTGACTTCACCTAGCAGCGCTTTAAATTTCGCGTTTGTTGCTCTGGCAACAGCTTGAGAAGTTGGCTGAATCTTTACTTGGCTGCCGCGAAGTAGAGATTCTGGGAAGAATGCAATACGACAAAAAGAGTTTACTTTTCTTTAAGTTGTACAAATCTTGTAAATGCCCTGTTCTAATAAACGTAGTGTAGGTATTCGTCACCCTGACTTTTGACCGGCTTTTACATTCCCATTGACATCCTCCAAAAAGAAATAAAAAGAAATGCTGCGTGAAGTCAGTCTCTCAATGTTTCTATTTCTAGCTTTCTTTGATGTTGGATAATCCCATACTGTTTCAAAGCGAAATATGCTACGTGTGTTTACATGATAGGTGCACAATTTTATTCCAAAACATCCTAAAAATTGTTTAATAAGGCATTGCATATATACATCGAATACAGTTGCTGCACAGTTGCTACTTGAGATATTTACGTGTTCCAGAAAACATCTGCTGCTGGGGGCCACCATAGAAGTAGGCAAAGTAGTGAGCTGGCTACATTACAGAGGAATCTACAACTTCCCGGGATCACTGTCTCTAAATAAGTGGCAGCTTCTTGCAACCGTGGCCATTTTTGTGACATTCTCCTCATTTGTTTTCAGACGTGCAGTGTAAAAGTATCGCAGAAAGCAACCTGTGTGAGGTACCTTCTAGAAAAGCAGCAATAAAATAATTGTGTGAGGCTGACGATGACAGTCCAATAGCCAGCGTCAAGGCTGTCACTGGTGTTGACCCCAAGATACCCGAGACTAGAGGCAATGTCAGTGATGATGCCACGAGTACCAGAACAGGCCGACGAAGCAGTGGTATAAGGGCCGGCACAAGCAGTAATGTGCAGCTGAGCTGACAAGAGTGAAAAGGAAAAGGCCACATAGCCATAGAAGCTGCTTCGGCTCGTTGTTGAAGCAGCCCGACATGCCCCACTAGAGCACTCAGAATTGATGCGAGTCGCAGTAGCAGTGCCACGAAATGTTGGAGAAGCAACTGCTCGCATTGCGCAGAAGGTCGAGTGGGTAACTACGTTCAGTAAAGAAGGCGGTCATCGTCTTAAAGACGAAAATCGATTTCGTCGCTGCAAATCTTATGGAGGCGAAGGAATTGTGAGAAGGGAATAGAGTTGATTTGGGATCTAGGATGGATCAAGGAGTAAAGAAGGTAGCTATGGCTGTCAGTGGGTTTATAGTGCACAGAGGTGTGGAACCTGTGACGGTCGCTAGTGACTTTTAAGTCTAGGAAGTTGACAGCGCATTTCGATATCGGTGAGGTAAACTTGAGGGAGGGGTAGGCGTTACAGAGTGCAGACCACCACGTTTCCACCCTTATCGGCTGGCTTGGTTACGAGGTTGGTGCGGTTTCGAAGGGAGTTTAGAGCGGTAACTTCTTGTGGGGTTGCGTTGCGGTATTTAGAGATTAGTTTGCTAGAGGAGTTGGCAAGGATGCTACGACATGCTTTGATTGAACTGTCAGTTTCAGGGTGTTTGGCGGGAAGCGGGGTCAGTTTCAGGGTGTTTGGCGGGAAGCGGGGTCTTTGGGTTAATGGTGTCGAACATGGTGCGATTAAAGTTAAACGGATGCTGGGTGAAGTGGGCATCTAAAAGTAGGCATCAGAAGAATTGTTCGCTGTCCACATGTAAAAACAAAAAAGGCTAAGGTCGGCTTTGAAGTGCAGGGACGAAGGACAGGCCCTTCGATAAGATAACGTGTTCAGGGGCAGTGAGGGGTAAATCGTCTCGTATGGTGACATCATCGATGCGTTGGATGGCAGCCTCATCATTTCGGGGCAAGGGTGTATATAATTTCCTTGATTTACAGGTGAGACCATCGGCATAGAGATATGAGTTGACTTCCAGAATTTTGTCAACAAGTTTGCATGAGTGTGAATCGAAAGATGAGTCAAGGGACTTGAGGAGTCTTAGCGACAGTGAGCGTTTGGCGTAACTGGGCACAGTGGTCATTATGATATCTCAGATGTGCCTTCACTAGCTGGAGAGCAGCATTATCTAATATTTGTGACACTTTTGAAGGGCCGGAGGAATTCTCAATGGCAGGTTGTAAGGAGGGCCGGTGTGTTTGCACGCAAGACATGTCGGAGAGCCGCACGGCGTGGTACCAGGGAGCAAAGTCTGAGGCTTTGTGGTCTGGTTGCTGCATACTGGAAGGGATCGTAAGTTGGCTTTCGATAGGAAGTTAGGGCGGGTGCTTTAGAAATAACTGTAGAGTCTACGAGGTGGAAAGTGGTTTTCATGATTAGTTTGCCGAGCCTGGGTACGGAGGGACGGAACTTAAAGATGAGGGGGTTTCGGAGTGCTTGCTGCATACTGGAAGGGATCGTAAGTTGGCCTTCGATAGGAGATTAGGGCGGGTGCTTTAGAAATAACTGTAGAGTATACAAGGTAGAAAGTGGTCTCCATGATTAGTTTGCCGAGCCTGGGTATGGAGGGATGGCACGAAAAGGTGAGGGGGTTTCGGAGTGGTTGCTGCATACTGGAAGGGATCGTAAGTTGGCCTTCGATAGGAGATTAGGGCGGGTGCTTTAGAAATAACTGTAGAGTCTATGAGGTGGGAAGTGGTCTCCATGATTAGTTTGCCGAGCCTGGGTATGGAGGAATGGAACGTAAAGATGAGGGGGTTTCAGAGTGGTTGCTGCATACTGGAAGGGATCGTAAGTTGGCCTTCGATAGGAGATTAGGGCGGGTGCTTTAGAAATAACTGTAGAGTATACAAGGTAGAAAGTGGTCTCCATGATTAGTTTGCCGAGCCTGGGTATGGAGGGATGGAACGAAAAGGTGAGGGGGTTTCGGAGTGGTCGCTGCATACTGGAAGGGATCGTAAGTTGGCCTTCGATAGGAGATTAGGGCGGGTGCTTTAGAAATAACTGTAGAGTCTATGAGGTGGGAAGTGGTCTCCATGATTAGTTTGCCGAGCCTGGGTATGGAGGAATGGAACGTAAAGATGAGGGGGTTTCAGAGTGGTTGCTGCATACTGGAAGGGATCGTAAGTTGGCCTTCGATAGGAGATTAGGGCGGGTGCTTTAGAAATAACTGTAGAGTCTATGAGGTGGGAAGTGGTCTCCATGATTAGTTTGCCGAGCCTGGGTATGGAGGAATGGAACGTAAAGATGAGGGGGTTTCAGAGTGGTTGCTGCATACTGGAAGGGATCGTAAGTTGGCCTTCGATAGGAGATTAGGGCGGGTGCTTTAGAAATAACTGTAGA